AGTCAAATCACAATACAATATGATCAGGGAAACAGAACTTTCAAAACTTTGAGAGATTTTATCTGTCCAAATAGATGTAGAGGTAAAGCTCTTACTATGGGGTGGTGTCTGGGTTAGATATCAGAGTATAAATGCAATTTTCTTTTTCCAAGATTTTAATTCAGTCAAAATTTTTAGCATTTAATTTTATGCTTTGAGTTTGTTGTAATTCAGAGAAAGGCTTTTCCAATTCTGATATTCTTAAAAATTCTCTAGAGAGAGAGAGAGTGTGTGTGCGTGCGTGTGTGTGTGTGTTTACTTTTATGGATCCATTGACTTCAAATAAACTTTTGAACTTTTTGAAATGTATGTTCTCTAAGGTTCAAGGTTTTGCTTCAACTTTTTTTCCAGTTGGATATCCACTTATAGCAACTTTTAATTGCATGAATGTACAGGTTGTTCTCTCACTTCAGAAATAACCCTGATATGTTATTTTATTGAATACTAGTTAAAAGTTTGTTTTGTTTTATTTAGGATTCTCAAAGTTATCAAAAAAGCTATCTAAAGCAAGCACAGCATCAAATAAAGGAAATGAAGCAGATGCATCCAAGTGAGGAAGCTAAAGAGAGTCATTCCATTGGAAAGCAGAACTCTTTAGAGGAGAGAATACGTCAACAAGAACTTGAAAATCTCTTGTTTGAACAACAACTAAAGGATGCTTATAAGGAAGGCAATAATGAAGAGATAGTCATTAATATCCAAGAAGACTGTCTTGATAATGGAAAGGAAGATCTTCTTCTAGAAGAAAAAAATAAGGAATTAATGAATGAATATAATTATTTGAAAGAAAAACTGTTTCAGTATGAGAAAGAAGCAGCAGAAGAAGTAAGTATGAAAAAAACTATGTTTAAACTTCTGGAAAGAAAATTTAAACATTTCATTCTGGCTATATGTTTAACCTAGTTAAATATAAAAATAAATAGATGAAAATGTGTTTACTATACTGTATAATTCCATTTGTATTAATCATCCAGGAAATACATGTATAGGAACAGAAAGAAGATTAATGTTTGTGTAGGCCTGGGGCTGGAAATGGGTGGTGACTGCTAATGAGCATGAGGGATTGTCCTGCAGTGATGAAAATGTTCTAAAGTTGAATTGTAGAGATGGTTGCACGACACAGTAAAGTTACTAAAAATCTTTGAACTGCTTGTTAAAATAGATAAATTCTATAAATCATATTTCAACAAAACTGTTTTAATAAAAAACCAAAAAAATGTGTTTACTGTATCAGCTTGGAAACATACTTACATACTTTGTTTCCAAAAAATAAAAAATAGAGCTGAGAGATGCTTAACTTTGAGTAAAGACATCATGTCACCTATGAAATTTTAGTAGATACAGAGCAATGTTGATAAGGTATATAGTCTTATACTGCAGAAATAATAAATTTAATGTCTTTTTGTTGCCACATTTTAAGACCATAATGAAGCAGGTAAATGGAAATGCTTGTACCTGAAATATGTATTTTGAAATTAAGATTCAATTAAGTGAGCTGCTTTGACATTTAATTCTAGATTTCCCAGATGAACTGAAGTGTGTTGCTGTGTCTTGTGATGCTTTTCCTTCAGTGGCTCTCTCTTTTATGTATTTTAGTTGTTATAACTTTGTTTTGATTCGTACCAATGTGACTTAAGTCTGAAAATAGGTCAGTCTCACATTATGCATTTTTCTGACCACTTAGAATTTTAAAGACATCTACTTGCTATAAAATCACAATTTGGAATAAATGTGGTAAATTTTAGCCAAAAAAATTTTGATGTAATGTTCCCACTGGTAGGTATTTATAATTTACTGTCAATATTTTTATGAATAATTAGCTCATAATTTACATTTTAAGTCTCAATGACTATCATTTGGACATAACTCTTTCCAGTACAAAGATACTTGTAACTGTCTGTGATTTATGAGTTTGACATTGAATCCCCATTTTCAGACTAAGGAGGGGTGGCAGAGTTAACGGAGAGTGGGATCGAAGTGAGTACGGGACACAGATGTAGGAGCTGAGGTCAGGGAGGGAGTTAGAGGCCATGTTACCTAGGGCCTTGAAGGCCGTTGGAAATTTAATTTTATTCTGAGATAGGAATCTGTTGGAAGGATTTCAACAGGCAACTGAATATGTGAGGAACTCAGGTTGAGTTGAGGGTCTAAGGTGAATGAATAGCGGGCTGAATCCATCTGTCATGTAAGAGAATAACGATTTGGCAGGAAGATAACACCTTCTGTGTCCCTCACTGAATTCCGTAATAAAGAAGAATGTGTACATATGAGGAAAAGAAAGTGAATCTGTATGTGTGGTAATAATTTTCAAAGTATGTATACTAAGTTAAATATTATTAACATATTTAATAATAAGACACTTTATAAAATTAGTAACAAAAATATTTTATTAGGTGATTGTGAGACAACTTCAAGAAGAACTGGCCAATCACCTTAAATTTCCTATGTCAGATTCTCCACTGGAAGGTACATCACATTGTCACATTAATTTGGATGAGACACGGGCTTCAAAGAAGAAATTATTTCAAGTAGGAAGTCAAGTATGTGTGGAATTTAACATGTAGACAGTTAATCTGTAGCTGGTTGGATAATATAAAGTCTTTTAGGATACTAATTTCAGTGGACCACCTGATTGTATATTTTCATTATAATTATCACCATTTTATTATCTTTATAGCGTACTTATTTCTTCAACTCTGGCTCTTGTTCTACCATTCTGAAAAATAGTTGCATATGTTTTCTCTTACAATATTTACTCTTGGGAAAGTTGAGAATGATACAATATTCCTCACAGAAAATTGACTTTTTTTCCTGTTAAACAGTATTTTTAGATAATTTCCTTATTGCCTTGGTGAGGCAAGCCAGATTAAGTCAGAGGAGAATGTTTAAAGGAATGTTCCAGAAAGTTGTCTCATTTCTTCACTTTTGTGAATGGGCACAGAAGCTGTGCCTATTCATTTCATGGATTCTAGGTTAACTTGTACAGAAAGGTCATCATACTGTTCTTTGAAATGCACACGTTTTAGGTTAATTTACAAACTATTTGAAAAGTTAGGCATTGCCTTCATCTTCATTTCATTTAAAATATACTGTAATGGCATAGAAATACTCAGATCTGATAGAGTATGTACATCCAAAATAGAGAGCTGAGAAAATTTTCTTGATCCTACCATAGGATTTTAAAAACAGTTTCACTGAGAGATAATTCACATGTCAGACAGTTCAACCATTTAAAATGTACGACTCAGTGTCTGTTAGTATATTCACAGCATTGTGTAATCATCAGCACAATCAATGCTAGAACATTTTCACCACTCTGAAAAGCAACCCCACATCTCTTAGCCATGACTGCAACCCCTCTCCATGTCTCTCCACCTACCCCAGTTGTAGGCAACCACCATCCCGTTTTGTCTCCATAGATTTGCATGGTCTGCATATTTTATATACATAGAGTCATACAATATGAAGTCCTTTCTGACTGGCTGTTTTCACTTAGCAGAATGTTTTCAGAATTTTATCCATGTTGTATCACGTATCAGTAGTTTCTTCCTTCTTATTGTCTAATAATAGTCTATTTCATGGCTACACCAGTTTTCCATTCATTCGTCAGCTGATGGACCTTTAGGTTGTTTCCACTTTTTGGCTATTATGAAAACAGCTGTTGTGAACATTCATTTACAGGTTATTGTATGGATGTATGTTTTTATTTCTCTGCCATTGGACTTTATCCTAGCGTTAATTGGGCAGATGTCAGCCCCAGTTTTACCCATGCTGTCCTTCCTGCCTTCTCAGTTCCTGTTCATCTAGCCTCATTCATTCAGACCTGGCAGGCAATTTCCTCTTCAGGAATCTTTCTCTGGCTGTTCTGACTCTCACTGACCTTATATCTCAGCACCCGTTGCCCAGTCTGCAGAATAACTTAGCCCTTAATTTGACATGGCTTTTATTTTTAATGGAAGATAATTTTGTCTCGTCATAAATTTGCTTAAAGGGAAAATAATATCTGACATGCATGTCACCTATCCTTGTATAAATTGAAAATATTTTAGCTTGGCATCTTTTAGCATAGAACAAAATATACCATACCAATGATTTCTTCTTTGAGACATTAACACAGTAAGTCTTTTATTCTAAGTGTATTTTTAGCAATTAAATATGAAATTAAAACCAATTAGTCTAATAGAGGAGAATTGTTCAATCAAATGCTCATGTTTTTCTCAGTATGAAAAAAGAATCTAAATTTGCCTTCCTTCACTATGTAGCCAAAACTGTA